TTTTCGCAGTAAAGGTTACGGATCTTAAAGCAATATTATTTAAAAGTCTAAAAATCACAAATTTGTGTGTTGCTTCCTTTCTGCAGAAAGCCGTCCAATTAGATATCAAGAAGGACAAACCTGTCACAGCTATCGGAAAGGCGCCAACACAGTATGTCGGTCTCCCATTAGAAATACATTGCCTATGCCTGGCCATACTGCGTTCTCAGTGTGTCCCGAACTATAGTACTCTAGTATTTTTCCTCTTCTGGTTTAATAGGAGCTCGGTATGTTTTAAAGATGGTCCTGTTATGAATCTTTCTGGCCTGTCACTGTCTTGGTGAATTTTTAACATCCCTTGCTTTGTGCAAGTTCTGATGGCTATCTTTGTGACACCACAGGAAGGTTCTGGGCTAAAAAGAACCTTTGTGGCTTCTTTTCGGACTAGTAAATTAGCCTGTTCATTGCCTTTTTGTTCTCTGTGGCCTGGAACTCTATAACCCTATAAGTCTAAGATTAGTTTGATTCGACTACCCATCTCTGTTAGAGCTTCCAAATAGTCCCACACAAGCTTTGAGTGTGCCTGCATGAAGTTAAATGAGATTATTGTATTTAACTTGAAACTATATATGCCTTCTCCTACTCCAGTAGTTTTGGAGGCGTCTGAATACCAGGTGGTTTCTAGATGAATAAGAGGTTCTCTATTCCACGCTTCATATACTAAGACTATACGAAAGACTCAGAGATCTAGATGGTTTCACCATCTAGCAGCCCATAATTATATCTTTCTAAATCAAAGAGTCGACATGTGAGACCAATAATATTTATATTAAGTATAGAAAGTGGAATACCAGTGGTACCAATAAGAAAAACAATCTGTGAGTTTTACTTGCTATTATACCACAATTTTATTATTTACTTTGACAGTAATTTCTTGAAAAAAAGTACTGTTTTTCACAAGTGTCCTTTCTACAGTTTAAATGTTATTTTTGTTAGTTTGCATTGCACCTAGCTATTTTTCAGCCAACCAGAAATTTGTCTTTATTATAAACTTAAGTATACTTAATATTTTTATCGTTTGTCAATTTTCTGTGATACGTGTCTATTGATTCATTTTTAATAGTGATTATTTTTCGTTTTAGTTGTTGTGTTAGTCTGTTGAGAACTACTTTATCTTCAGGGAATTTCGTTTTTTCTTGCGTTTCTCTTCTTATTTATTAATTCTTTTATTTCTCTAGGGTATGAATTGTCTACGTTTTTTCTTGTAATTTCTAGTGTATTGTTCCATGATGATTGCTGTATGTCAATGACAAATTTTTCCAGCTCATACTCTAGTTGTGCTTTTGTTCTTAGTACTGCACTTAGTTAAATGTGACAATCGAACTGCATTATTTCCTTAATGGCCAAAGAATTGGAGTAGTCGTTGACAATTTCTTGCAAATCGCCTTCAAATACTTTTATTAAAAGAGGTGGTTCAGTGCGATGAAACTTCTGCCAGTTTTGAAGAAGATCATAATAGTCTTCGGCACCGAAGTTTAATTTCGGTGAGATGAATGCTCGAACTTCTGTTTTTGAAGATCTGTTTAATTTATAACTTTAATAATGCTTCCAACTGCTAGTTTATGGATAGTTTTTCGTTCATCTGTCAACATTGTCAACAACATATTCTCCGAATGGCTAAAATAATCATTCCTCTGGATAACAGGGGTCGATTACATTTTTCAATTCAGGTGGCAAATACCTTGAACGCTGAATAGAATCAAAAAAATATTTTGTACCACATCGAAAAATAAACGTTTACAACGAACCTGCAAAAATTTTATGATTATCTGAGTTTCTAAAATCTTCAAGTTTCGTTTGAAAATATTGCTTTTGTGAATGGTATTGCTTAAGCAAAAATATAATTCCTGCTCTAGAGACGATCGGAGTACACGTTCGGCTCAAAATATTTTCTATTTTACTTGCTACAATAACAAAATCTTGAGAATTTATATAGTTTTTATTTACGTTCTGTTGTTCTAGGCTGTACTAAATTAACAAAAAGCCTAGTTAAATACACTGGCGAGCAAAAAATTGAGGTCACCTTAAAATTTTCATGTTCTTTGAAATTTTACGTTTTCAGATCGTATTCGCAAACTGCACATCATTGCATGTGCTTTTGTAAGCTGAATGTGATACTCTATACTAAACAGAAATGCATTTTTTTCTTGGATTTCATGATTTATTCTGAAAAAGCAACTAATTAACATTTTGGGCGAAATTCAACATTTTGTTGTTAGGGAAAATATTGAATGAACAAAATGAAAAAACTTGACACTAATAACGTGTATTCCCTCCTCTTGCATTGATGACTACTGGATGTCGGCGCATCATACTTTGAATTAAGTTGCGGATCACATTCTGGTCGATGTTATCACATTCCTGCAACAGCAGTCTTCTCAGCTCCTGGACAGTTCTTGGTGCTGGTGTGTGTGTCTGCGGATCAGTCGTCCCAACTCGTCCCAGACATGGGATTCATGTCTGGACTGCGGGCTGTCCAGTCAAACCGCCTAATTTCTACCTCATCCAGATCTCATCCTCGTCGACGTCCATCTGACCCAGTGAGGCAAAAACGCGACTCATCTGAGAACAATACCCAGCTCCAGTCATCATCATTCCAACGAACGTGATCTCTGGCAAATGTCAATCTTGCAGTCCGATGCTGGCGTTGCAACGGTGGACCTGTAGCCATTCTTCTACATGACAGTCCAGCAGCATGAAGTCTTCTTCTAACGGTCCATTCACTAACGTTGACATTTCTCACTTCTTCGCAGTGAAACCGCAGTAGTTGTCCTATTCCGCAAACTTGTGGACACCAAAAAACGGTCATCTCGTTGAGTGGTAACCATTTTTCGCCCAGACCCTGGTCTTCTAGTGATGAGACCAGTCTCCAGAAAGCGCTGGTACACCCTTTGCACACAAAGACTAGCACCAACAATTCTTGCAGTTTCGCGTTGCAACAATTCTTGCCACAACAATCGGATCTAAAGGCATTATGGGCCTGTTAAATCACTACACTTTGCAATCGTTAGGTTTTACACAAAGAATCAATAGTAAACTGGAAAACAGGCAAGGGAAATGTAAATGTTCAATTAGCGAAAAGGCACATTTTTCATAAAAGTCGTAAAAACAGGGGACCTTTGTATTCTAATAAATCGAATGACAGCTGTCAAGTCTCAGAAAACAATTACTTCAACGCCTACTAATACTATTATGTCAATATTGACGCTAAAATTATTCGCAATTTCTGAAGTGACCTCAATTTTTTGCGAGCCAGTATATTATCGGTGGGGCTGGAAGATAATATCGCTGAGAAAAATGTCAAATAACTATAATATAAAATGTTTATTTTTTATATTTTGAAAATAATTGGATTTAAAAAATTGATATTTTAACTTTTAATAGTGTTTGGAGCGTAGAAGTTTTTAAAGAATAAATAAATATTAAAAATGTATTACTAAATAATAGTAACATTTCATTCCCTGGTGCCTTTCTTAATTTGGAGGGTGGCATTTTTGTTTGTAATTTAAAAAATATTTTAGGAATCCATTTTGAAAAGCCCTGCTTTCGACGGGTATTGCATTTTTGAAAATTAAAAAATTATTTTTCTTGTACACCCTAATGTGCAGTAAAGGTTCGAGCACACTTCTTGTGGTAATTGTGATTTGATATTTTAAATTTTTAGTCTTTCGATCTAACACAAAAGAGTCCGTATTGTCTAATTCAAAAATTCCTTAATATACATATTTATCTTCAATCATATTTTTTTACATTGTTTTCAAAACGCCTTTATATTACTAGATGTCCAGTGTTGCCAACTTTGAAGTAAGATTTTTCCCTCCACATACCTTCAAAATTCCCACTTTTATGAAATCTCGGACATTTGTTTGTGAAATTTCTAAACAAAAAAAAGTCCTCAGCATCATTTTATAAACAACCAGGTCCTGATTCGAGCTTCTAAAAAAAGGTCCTCAGATTTTATACCAGAAATACAAGTTTGTAAAATCTTTTAACAATACTTTAAAAATACGTCCAATAATTAACAAATTTTATTTTATTTTTCAAATCATACATTTTTCACATTTTAGACTGGAGTAAAAAATTCCCGTTTTTAGTTAACTTTTTCCATTTTTTTCCCTTTTCCCTTTTGTGTTAAAAATTCCCGCAAAACGGGAAATTTCCCTCCGGTTGGCAACACTGGATGTAGCAGACTCTCTCGTATTAATTTAAACAATGAATATCTTGAACAATAAATTTTCTATAAAATATTTTATCTTCATTTACCAAAGAAAAAGATTTACTATAGTATGTACTTATCTTTCGCCGTGTCCCATTTATTCGATTTTAAAATATCAGTTTTCATTGAAAACTGTAATAATAAGAAGCCGTTGCTTTAAGAATTTGTTAAAGGTGCATCTTTTCTTATCAACATTCCCTTTTAATACTTTTTCCGTCCTGTACAAAACTAATTAAATTTCTTTTTCGTATATAAAGAAAATTAAAATTAAAAAATATAAGCTAATAATTCTAAAGGGAAAACAATTTTCTTGGAAAAAATTTAATCCGAAAGTAGTTCATATATTTTGTAGAGTAAATAGATGACAGTGTTTTTATCTAAAAAATAATCTTAACTGTTTAAGTTTTTTTTTGTTTTAAGAAAATCTGAGTATTGATATTCGTTATTAAAAAGTGAATGCATCATTCAATAAACAATTTTACCAATTTGATGTGTCATTTTGAAACGAAATATTTATAATTGGTACACGGTTAACTAAGGTAAGGATTGTTTTATGAATGTAGACCAAACGTATATCGGATTATTTTAATATTCTCTACACTCGTTAAACGATGATAGAAAGCATCCTGTTAAATGTCGTCTTGTAGTGAAAATGATATGTTAGAAATTAGACGTGTTTAGTTTACTATTGTTTTTCTATTAAAGTTTGATATGAAGAAAAATATTGATTTTTAAATAATTGTAGAAGTTCGACAAGAGGCCGTTCAACAGGCTCTCGCACAAGCCTTACAAAATAGGCACAAACCCTCGATGCCGATGCCGTCCAAAAGAACATCAGTCATGGCGAGGAGTCCAGACCGAGATAGACATGACTCTGGTAAGTAATTTAGACGTTCTAATGCCTATTTATTTCTATTTTATTTTGTGCCCTATAACTTCCAATGAACATTTTTTTTAAATCTAAAGTAATGTTAATTCCTGTTTCAATTAATTGATTCAATGTTTTAAAATCTGTATAATCTAGTTTTTTTCTAACTTTGTTGTTCCTTTACTTTTATCGGCATTTTCTTGTGTGTATGTATTCTGCTAATTATTGTGAATTGTTTTTTTTTTATTATTAAATTTAGTCGCATCCACCAAAAGGTTATTAGCGATGGAACAATACATTAATTATAAATCTAAATTTCATATAACATTTCGATAGATTTTAGATAGTCAATAATGTTTTTAAGAGTGTCATCTTCAGAAGCATCAGTAAAAAACTTTTGATAGTCCTGATATTTGTCTAAAATATTATTAAGGTTGTATTTTATAATATTTGAGGGAATTTCATGTTTATTATATTGGCAGAGGTCCGTGTTGGTTTCAGAAATTTTAATGATCCAGGGAGGAGGATAGTCAAGATCGAATGGAAAGACTTCTGGAAAGTCAATCTCTAGGTGACTAAGATAACTTCGAATTCGCTCATAATAAGGTTTTAATGTGTGTGGCTTATTGCTAAAGTAATTGATATATATTTTTTATTGAAGGTATTATTGAAAAGTGGCTTATTCCTATTAGAGGCTATCGAAGTAGCATGTGATAATGATAGATACATTCTCCGGTAGTGCAGGGATGGTTCTCCAGTTTCACAGTAGATACTTTCAATAGGGGAAGTGCGAAAGACTCCCAGAGCAATACGAAGAGCAGCATTGTGTACAGTTTCTAACAATTTCAAAGTGGTTTTGCTGGCTGATCCATATGCAATAGACCCGTAGTCAATCTTTGATCTTATTAAGTTTTATAAATGGTTAGTAAGGTTTGATAGTCTGAGCCCCAGTTTCTGTTTGCCAGAGTCTTCATTATGTTTAGTCTCTTATGACAGCAAAGGGTTAAGTGTTGTATGTGTTCTTTCCAGGATAGCTTTTGGTCGAACCACATTCCCAAGAACTTTACTGATGGTTTGAAAGATATATTTTGGTTAAATAACTATAAAACTGGAAAGATAACAGAAGTTTCCTTGGAGAATCTTTATCGGTTGTAAGCAGGTAGGGTTAGGTTTGGCCCAGAACACTGCGGCCTCTTGGGTCTATTGTATTCCCCTGCTTTCCCCGTATTTAGGTACTATCTTTGGAATAGTCCTGTGTCTTTGATTAGTTTTAATAGGTTCCCTACCAAGTGTTCCTGGGGCGTTCTTTCCGGTTCTAGGCCGAAAAGGATGAAACGTCGCCCAGTAAGAGCTTCGCATTCGAAGATCACATGGTATGAGGTTTCTTCCTTTTCCATGCAAAGTCTACACGTAGTGGGATCATTGTGTAATCCCATTACATGAAGGTGTTTCAGCAAGCAGTGCCCCGTTAGTAATCCCACAATGGTGGATATCTGAGTTGTAGTGCGAGTTGTAGTGCCTCAGTAGCCATGCGTGGGTTTGGTCCCCTTAGCATGAGCTTACTGATTCTGTGCCCTCTTATCTGTTGCCAGTGAATTTGGTGTTTTATGGTTATCCACCTGTTCACTGCCTGTCGAGCAGAGGTTTTGCTTATCCCAAATACAGGTTCTGGTCCTGTAAATGGTAGATCTGATCCCACTTTGACGAGTTCATCAGCCTTTTCATTTCCTTGAATACCTTTGTGCGCTGGTACCCACGCCAGTTTTACCTTACTGTGGGTTGCCAGATAATTTAGTATTCCAAGGCAGTTCCAGACAAGCTTTGATTTAATTCTGTTTGAATCAAGAGCCTTTAAAAGAATACAATTCCAACAGTTTTTGTCACGGAAAAAATAAATCCTGTATCAAGAGACCATTGTTCCAATTTCATCAAAAAGTTTTGCAGAAAAGTTGACATGATATCCACATTTTTTCCTTTAATATAGATTACCAGGCCATCAGCATATAAGCGTGCTTTTAAAGGTTTTGTTAAGCTTTTTATTATGTCATTTATAGCGACCAGAAACAGTGTAGGACTAATTATTGACCCTTGTGGAGTTCCATTGTCTTCGTTTTGATTTAGGAATTATTTACTCTTACACGAAATGATCTACCCTTTAGAAATTTTTTTATAAAAGCAAGACAGTTGCCACGAATATTCCACGTGTGAAGTTTTCTTAGAATGTTAAATCTCCAGTAGGTATTAAAGGCTCTTTTTATGTCGAAAAATATTGCTATACAAGTTTGTTTTGTTGCTAGAGATTCGTGATTTTCGCTTTCTAGATTCAGAATATTATCGATCCCAGATCGGTTTTGTCTAAAACCGTTTTGCTCGGAGATTAAGTGGCCAGAATTTTCCAAAGTCCACATGAGTCTATGGTTGATTATTTTTTCTAGCAGCAGTATCCAGTTTTAACATACTTAAAGTTTTATTTGACTAAGCACTATCCAATTTTTTGTTTTCCAATATACTCCACTTTGTGATTCATTTCTGATTTTTATTGGTTTCATTTCTCTCCTAAATTTTTAAATTAGTTGAGTATTCTTCTTTCAGCACCACATTGATTAAAGATTGTAGTTATACGGTTTTGGAGAATATTTCTTCTGTTGCCATTTTAATGCAATTTTCATCAACTTTATTGTCTTTTTTGGAATTTTAAAACTGATAAGAGCTTCGTAAAGTTTAGTTCATGACATATTTGTCTGTGAACTATGACTAATAGAAGAATAAGGATATTTTTCTGTATTAGAATACCACACCAACAGTCTAAATAATTATTAATTTGATATTCCTCTGCCTTCCTGATTAGATATAGCCAGTCGTCTATTTGAAATTTATTGAAATAACTAAAGCTATTCCCTATAGTTTTCCCATAGTAATTTAATAACTGTGTAATTTTCATAAATTATCTCGTTTTTACGTTTCTATGGTCTGTTTCCTTACACATTTTGCTGATCAATTCCTTTTGTACAACCTTTATATCTGCACCTGTAACGTGTGGAAGGTGGGTTAACCCACGTCATTTATATCTCACTATAGGCTCATTGTGTAGCCTCCTAAGGAGATATGTACCTCCTAGCTCGTGAGCTAGCCTACCAACTTCGCCAAGAGGTGCTTTTCTCATATAATAATTTTCTGAAATCGATAGAATAACGTGTAAAGTACCAGTGTATGTCAATTTAGTTTGAATTTTTTTGAAAAATTTTGCGTATAAGATTTGAGAATGAAATTAATTTTGTAGTTGACAAATATTCTTTTGACTCACATTCGGTAACCTTCTTCAGTGTCATTTTTTATTGTATTATTTATTTAGTTTTACCAATCTATCATTCTTATTTTTGTAATTTTTTTCCTTATATTAATATCAACAAAAAAGTTTATATTTAAAATTGTATTTATTATAAAAGTAACTACTTATTTTTTATTTTTATATGCCATAAATCAATGTTTGGATATTGTAGATATCTGTAAAGCAATATTTTTAAATTAAATCGTTTTGTTTAAAATAGTAATGACTTAGGAATCTCATGGTGTTCTTTTCAAAATCTAAAATTGCTCGAGAAATCATTTATGAAGGTACTGACCTACCCTTTCTATAATTTGGTTGGAATGTCGTTTTTTTTGCTTTCTTTTTTCTTGGTAGCTTCTTTCTTTAAAATGGGGGTTTTGATGTTGATTGGTGATAAGTGGCAATGTTTAGACATAAATATAATTTATTGTATTCTTTTTTTTTTTAATTTTATCTTGTATTCGATAAGGATTACACGTTTATTTGCATTAGGAGATTCTTAAAACTTACAATTAGTTTAAATAATATGTAAACTAGGTCTGATGGGGACAAAAACCCAACCAAGTTTTAGAAAGGGTTAATACCAACTGAAAATTTTAATTTTGAAAATGACATCGGCATAAGATTGGTACATCATTATTATTTTGAATGAATTGATGTATATTGATTTAAATATAACAATGAATTATTGTATATGAAAATTAAAAAATAAGTACATCCTTCATTTTTTTTAACAAAATATAAAAAAATATGTTGTTTATATTAATATAAGAAAAAGTAGTTTAAGTTCATTCCCAAAAATTTTCAAAAACAATCTAGATAGAAAAGGTTTAAGAAGCGAAATTGGATTAAACTCATTTTAAACCTCAAGAAGATATTTTTAAATATCAGTAATTAATTATTCAATTAACATTACCTGTAATTATTAGTTATTATTAATCTTATTATTATTACGTTTATTTATTTAATACTTATACACTATTATAACTCACAATTCTAATTTATTTATTACAATTTATCTTCACTACACAACACTTATATTGAAACAAATAAGTAATGTAACAACATCAACAACGAATTGATAATTTCTATGTATTTTCTAGAATCTTCGTCGGACGAAGATAGTATTGTAAACGAAGAGACAGTTGAAAGTACCCCCGAAAGGGAAAGAGTACGAGACCGCAGTACTCCTCAGATGTTTCCACCTCCACCTTTATCTGATACCAGCAGTACTGGTTCTCCACCGCCCCTACATCACAGGCCTCGACTACCCCCTCCTACAAATTATGAGGACAAAAGGAGAATCGAGATAACGGAAATCAGCGATGTTCTTCAGAATTTTAGGCCATGTAAGTATTTTTAAATATTTTTAATATTATTACGTTTAAATTTCATAACATGATCTTAAATTTAAACATAACATTTTGCAAACCACCCCTGTTCAACTCATTTGTGTTCAAACCCACGCATTCAAGAAATGCTATTTTTCTATCCTTCAAATAATAATCTCATCTCGCTCCATATACTGCACAAGTTAAATATATTTTCTTCATAACGTGACGAACGTCACGTACACAAGACCAAAATTCAACTTCATTCCGATATATATTTTATCTCTTGCATCGCAACATTTCTTTCTTCCTCACTCAATAGAGTTAAAAATAATTCTAGCCAAATTCCACTCGATGATGTATGATCGACAGTTGGACACGCCCTCCACACACAAGAACTAACAAATTCCTTCCGCATTACCTACAACGATACAATTCCTTTTTTTTGCTTACCACTCCACTCCGATTTCAAACGTTCAACAGTAAAAATGCCACTCATTACCTGTGATTTAAATAAAATGACTACGGTTCTAATGGGATTTTTTTATCTGTTTAGAATGTCAAGAAGTTTATTTATTATTACATAATATTTAGATAGTTTGTTTTTATAACGAGAAGTATATAAAATTATAAACCAATAAAATATATCAAAATTCACAAAAGAACTCTTCACATACTATTATATCCCATCCTCATCGCCAAATATTGCAACTGTAAATATTTAAATAATAACGAGGTGAAAACTAATATTGAAAATCTGACCTCTTTATTTATTCTAATAACGTTAATAAAATTAATTATTTATCCAGGAATTATTCACGAAATCAAAACCCTATGAGAAAAATCAATCCAAGTCAAAGTCAAGGATTGATTTCAAAATTTTAGGAATCGATCACTGTTGTATTAGATGTGGTAAAGACAATCATAATCATATGGTAAAAGAATGTAAAACAGACCAAAATAAATTAAAATGTAGAGACTGCGCAAAAAAGTTTGCATTACAACTTTATTAGCGAACAAAAATAAATCAACGGCAAATACCAATTATATTCAAGATCAACCAGAAGATGAATTAGATATGGAAGAAATGCTTGGTGTCAACAGAAGTTTTGATATTTTTGAAAGTCGAACAAATACTGATTCGAAGAAATTTTATGCTACAGTGTTCATCGAAGGAAAACCTCAGAAATTTGAAGTATATCCAGGGGCAGGATTTACTTTGTTACCAGAATCAAGTTACAATGCATTAAATTTAAGCATTAAACTAGAAAGACCAGACATTGCTTTTAGGTCCTATACGAAGAATATATTTTACCCAATAGGAAATGCAAATGTTTCTGTTCATTATCAGAATAAATTTTCGAAGAAAGAATTTTATGTTGTTCCAGACAATTTCGAACCTTTATTAGGGCGTATGTGGATTCGGCACCTAAATATCAATCTACAACAAATTAACACGAATCAGCTTTGTACAACTCCAATGAATGAAAATGAAATAGTGGCTAGATTTCCAAAAACTTTCGAACAGGAAATTGGATTGGTACCAAAGTTTAAAGTCCAAATGCAAAACCAGTTTTTTACAAGCATAGAGATGTCCCTTACGCGTTGCGAGACAAAATGGAAAAGGAACTGGATATCCTAGAAGCTGCAGGTATTATATCTAAAGTTGACAATAGCGATTGGGGATCACCCTTAGTTGTAATTCCTAAAGCCGATGATGGAGTGCGTCTATGTGTAGATTATAAAATTGGAGTTAATGACAGATTAGTCTCAGCAAATTATCCAATTATAAAAATTGAAGATTTACTAAACATTTTCAAAGGTTCAACATATTTCTGTCGACTTGATTTATTCAAAGCATATAATCTACTTCTATCTACTATTTTAACTCATCGAGGAACATATCGAATGCACCGTCTTTCCTTTGGTATCAAAACTGCACCTTCTGGATTCAACAGAATCATTGATTAAATACTATCTGATTTACCCACTACTGATTCTTATTTTGATGACATTATAGTTCATGAGTCAATTAAGAAGGAATGTCAAAAACCCCTTTTGATCTTCGCCTAAATTCCAGGAAATGTACATTTTTCGAGACCAGTGTTGAGTACCTTGGACATGTTATTGAGCATAACGAAATATTAAAATGTCCAAAAAAAGTTCAAGCCAACCTGGAGATGCCACAGCCAGTAGATGTTGATGGGGTTAGAAGATTTTTTGTAATAGTTACATATTATAGTAGATTTATTCATAAAATATCTACTAAAACATATCCTTTAAGAAAGCTTTTACAAAAAAATAAAAAATTCGATTGGAATTCTTCTTGTGAATTTGCTTTTATGAACATTAAACAAGAAATAGCAAATGATCAAGTTCTAGTTCCGTATGATCCGAATTTACCATTAATTTTAGCCTGTGATGCTAGTCCTACAGGAGTTGCTGGAATTATTTCGCATCTCATCGATAATGTTGAAAAACCTATAGGATTTGCTTCAAGATCACTGACCTCTAGTCAGCAAAATTATAGTCAGTTAGACCGTGAAGTATTAGCAATTATGTTTTCTGTTAATAATTTCTATATGTATCTTTTTGGTCGTAAGTTTAAACTTGTAACTGACAATTTTTCATCAAAATGCAAAACTTCCAGCTATGACATCCTCAAGACTTCTGAGGTATGCCTCATTCTTATCTGGATTTGACTATGAAGTTGAATTTAAAAAATCATACAAATGTAGACTGCCTTTCTGCAGCTCCAATAGAACATAAATATTCATCAATGGATAAATTTTTAAAGGAGGAGGTAAATCAACTTTGTTTTTCAACAATTTTGCAGATATCATCATATAATTTGACTTATGAAAATATCCGTTCAGCAACTAAAAGTGATACAGATTTGTCTAAAATTATACATGATTTAAAATCAAACAATAAAATTGAGAGCGATCTTATGATACCAGATGAAATTTTGTTTAGAGGTCAAAGAGTGGTAATTCCAGCTAATCTTCAACACATAGTTCTTTCCGAACTCCATAGCACTCATATAGGTATAATTAAAATGAAACAACTAGCCAGAAGATACTGTTATTGGAAGAATATCGATAAAGACATCGATAAGATTGTTAAATCATGTCAATCATGTGCTGAAGTCCATAGTTCTCCATCTAAGGTACAGTTATACCATTGGGATGTACTTTTGGATAACTGGGATCATATCCACATAGATTACGCCGGAAGGTTTCAAGGATAGTACTATTTAGTTGTTGTTGGTGCAAAATCAAGATGGGCGGAAATAAAAATTGTATGTGATGCGCCTACTTCAGGAAAAACTATCGATCTGTTACAAGAAATGTTTTCTTCTCACGGATACTCACGGATACCCTCGGATATTAGTTTCCGACAATGCTTCCATTTTCGCTAGTGAACAATTTCATTCTTTTTTAAAAACACATGGCATTTTCCAAAAAATTATTGCACCAGGTCATCCAGCAACCAATGGTTTGGCGGAAAGAAACGTTCAAACTTTGCAAAATCGTCTTAAGGTAATGTCCGATAATAGAAGTCCTATTTATAGGAAGGTTCAAGAAATATTACTTAAATATCGAACTACTCCCCTCAATTCGGGAAAATCCCCAGCAGAATTATATTTAAATCGACATGTTAGAATTAGACTAGATGCAATTCGACCATTTAAGCATTCTAAATCAGAATAACATTTACCAAGAGTTCGTAGTTTTAATATGGGGACGAGAGTACAAGCAAGATTTTATCAAGAAAATAAGATGTCTTGGAAATTCGGCATAATAACTAAAAAGTTTGGACGTCTCCACTATACATTTCAATTAGATGATGGTTACTCCATAAAACGACACATAGATCAGTTGCGCGATACCCTAGTGACAAAGAAGAGAGTAAGGTTCGCTGATGAAGATTTGGATGAATCTAATGAAGGACAACAGTCTCAAAATAATGAACAGTACCTACCTATTATTCTACAGCAATCAAATAACAGACAGGATAATAATAATGATAGTGAAATTGTAAAGTCTGAACGTGAAATGTTTCACCCTGAAAGAATGCAGTTGCGGCGTTCCTATAGAATTCGATATATGTCACAACGTTTTGTAAATTAGTCATGTTTACCTTATTTTGTTAAAAAAAGAGAAGAGAAGTCTAAAATAGTGTGGGAGACTGTTATATCCCTAATACTTGTAGTATAGTTACTAGATTAGATTTTGATGTTGTCAATAATAAATAAAGATGTCAGATTTTCAATATTATTATTCAAATATTTACAGTTACAATACATACAATCTCCCAAAATCGAAATATCATAGTGTCAACCATTGAACCATATCCCTCCTAGTGGTTTAAATATTTTAGCTTTGGTTTCAAAAGTACATACCTATTCATTAATTTGAAACACCTGTAACAATTTATACGTTAATACGTTTACAAAAGGGATTTCGTCAAATTATTGGACATTTTACATTTTTGTCCGAAATTTGGCCACTAGTTCTATTAACTCCTGAATATTTATTTCGTTTATTTTTTAATTTAGCAGTTGGAACAGACACAGCACTAATTCTGCTGCTACCACGATTTATATAAAGAATTAATGCTCCTGCAAATGCATCTGCTTAAAATATAGGAACTTAAACTATAAAACACCCAAGTCTTGAAATGCTTGCAATTGAAATTATAGCGGAAACTCTGTACGAACTTAAGAAAACAATAAACTTATTTAAGTTACTATAATGATTCCAAATATTTTAATTGCTTTTCTTTTAATCTCGCTATAAGTTTCTCCAGTTTAATTCGCATTAAATAATATCACTTAAACGAATTACATTTTTGCCAATAAAGCATTTTATTTGAAAAATAACTATCATAAATGCAGAAAATTATTTCGCAAAATATTAAAGTTCTTCTGCATCTTGTTCCTTATAAGAGAAAACAAAAATGTAATGATTTTTATCAATCTACAATTATTAAATAATAGACGCATAATGTTTGCG